AGGGCACAACAGATCATGAAGAAACAGGCGGATGCACACAGAAGGGAGGTCCAATTTGAAGTAGGTGAGAAGGTATTTCTAAAACTACGGCCCTACAGACAGAGGACCTTGGCCAACAGAAGAAATGAGAAGTTATCCCCAAGGTATTTTGGCCCCTATGAGATATTAGATAAAATTGGGGCAGTGGCATACCGTTTGAAATTACCACCTTCGGCCACTATACATCCAGTATTTCATGTATCACAGCTGAGAAAAGCCATTGGGGAGTATGCAACCAGTGCTGAACCGCCAACCACATTAAATGAGGAGATGGAAGTGATCCTAGAACCTCTGGAGCTGAAAGATGTGAGACTTGACCAGGAAGGAAACAAAGAGGTGTTGATCGCATGGAAAGGGCTCCCCGAATTTGATGCTACGTGGGAGCCATTTGAAAGAATGAAAGATCAATTCCCTTCATTTCACCTTGAGGACAAGGTGAGTCTTTAGGAGGGGAGTAATGTTAGGCGGGCCCCTCCGGTCCTTACTTACTCAACAAATTAGGCTTTGCAAGAAGACCACACTACCCACGGGTTTTCCTTCTTCCCTACTGCAGCTGCACATCTTCAGCCATTCGATCAAAGAAGCCGCTCCTCTCTGATCAGGACTGAACCATACGACTCCCTCTCTCATTCGAACAGAAGAGGCACGCCACGACTTCTCTCTACAGCTAGCAGTCGGGCTACCTTTATCATGGACAAAAATCTTCATTTGAGCCATCCTCTTATTCATGTGATTCTGTTAGGCGGGCCCCTCTGGTCCTTACTTACTCTAGGCGGGCCCCACATGGAGTTAATTCAAGGGTTGGAGGGAAAATTTTGGAAAGGGGGGGGGGGAATTTGAATAGAAGGGCTGTTTAGAGATTTTGTATGGGGATGAGAGTTAAAGAGGGGGAAAGGGGGGAATTAGGTCCTCATCTTGAATTTGAATGAAAAGTTTGAGATCTCATTGTGTGCTTGGGCTCTAGGGTTTGCTAGAGACTTGTGGAGAGTTGTTATTCCTCTCGAATCGAAGGACGTTGTATCTTTCTTTGTTTCTTGCATCTACTAGTGGAAACCTTGTTTCTTTTCCTTATTTTTCTCTGTTTGGGTGCATTTCCTGCTGCGAAGCTGCTGTAAACTGCTGGGACAGCAGTTTTGCTCACTGTTTTGGGCTGATTTTGACTAGGGTTGCTTGCGAACTCAAGTGTTACCTTAGGGTTACTTGCGAACTCAAGTATTTCCTATTAGACACTCAATCAAATCTCCCGATTCATAATCAGACAATGGTGTGTCACCTCTAAAGGATTACGCCAAACAATAGACCCTTGGGTAGAATAAGTGATGTATTGTGTTCTACTCCTAGAGATGAGAATCGACTTATTTTATTTTTCAATGAGAGCATAATGAAATACATCCTCAAGGGTATGAGGATGTTGAAGTTCTACATCATTCTTAATCTCCACCTTAATACATGTTATAAACTTAATGGAAAGTTTCTAATCACTATCATTATATTTTTCCTAGCCATTAAATCCTCAAAAGTGCTCAAGTACTTAGTAACTAGCATACTCCCTTATGTAAAGTTATCAATTATCAATGAAGCTTTTCACACAAGGTTTAAGATAGTACTTATATCTCATCATCTCTTTCATTTCTACTCACGTAAGGATCACCCTTTGATGGGGACATCAGAGCATGAATCGTATATCTGAGGCGTGACCGACGATCTACGGCCACGATCGCGTCGATGTATTTTGAGTTGTTTCATGTATTTGTTTTATTATGTTATTTGTCTTTTATTATTAGTTATGTTGTAATTGTTTTTCCGTTTTTATCTCTTACTTAAAGGAAGGTCGTATGTAAGCCCTAAGGACATTGTCATCTTTCTTATTTTGAGTCTTTTTTGTACGAGGCTATTTATAACCCTTATGTTGCTCTTCGCAAGTTAATGAATGATTATTTGAAAATTGTGTTTTCTTGTTGGAGTTCTTGAGAGAGCGGAAAGAGATCCCTTGGAGTGAAAATTGTGTTTTCTTGTTGGAGTTCTTGAGAGAGCTTGAGAGATCGAAAAGAGATCCCTTGGAGAGGGAGATTGGCGCATTACCCACCAACCTTGGAGACGGCCGGGTTCATGGTTTAAATTTTCTATCTTCCTTTCCCTTACCCTTTTCCCCTAGCCGTCAGCCTTGATCACCCCGACACCCCTAGACCCCCGGCCATCCTAACTCCCACACCCTACCACCACCTCCCAACACAACTCCACCTCCACCTAGCCGCCGGCCCCCTTGCCCGACCCAAGCAAGCCGCAGGCCCTAGCCTCTTTACCCTCACTTGAGTTTATTTCCTATTCTAGATTGACATAATTTAGATAAATTTTGAATTCAAATTCACCCTATTTGAAATTCAAAATCCTTCCTAACTTATGAAATTAATTCCCCAATCACCTCCTCATCAAATTTGAATTAAATTTGATTGAATCCTTTTTCCATATGAGTTCTTTTATTTGGAAAGTGCTTAATTCCTCTTCCAAATCCATAGCCGCCGGCCCCCCTTTTTGGGTTCTCCATTAGTGTTTGCAATTACAACCTTCTTAATTGGGTTAAATATTTTAGGTAACTCAATTAATTTACAAATTCAAATTCATTTGAATTTGAAATTGTTACCTAAAATACCAATCCTAATTTAAGAAAGTTTTTAAATTTCAGCCCTTTTGATTTTAAAATTATTTGGGGATTAATTAAGCCTTTCCTAATTTCATAATCCCAATTAAGAAGGCTTGAATTTATTCCCAAACCTTTCCCTCTCTCTTAGCCGCACCCATCCTTACCTAAATACACCCAAATCCTTTCCAAACTAAAAGGATTCGTTGGGAAAATAATTGTTTGAATTCCCTCCATCCCTCTAACCAAAAATCTGAACCTAACCTCTCCAAATCTCTCCCCTTGGCCGGCCACCCTCTTGCCTTCTCCTACTTGAATTCTTGAGGGAAACTTCTTTCTCTCAAAGGATTTTTCAAGGCGCGCAAAGGATCATTACATTCCACTCTTTGATGCTTGGGAGAGACCTCTTCTCCTCCAGTTGAACCTTTACAAGGAGCTACGACAAACTTCTTCAACACCTCGCCTACTTGTTTCCGGGTTTTGGTAAGGGGTGAACTTCTTCCCCTTTTAATTTACTTTTCTAATCCCCCAAATCTTGTAGGTGATGGAAATTCACAAGGAGCCAAGCTTCACCTTTGCTTAAGCTTAGTAAACATAGGATTTTGTCCCGCCGTTGCCAAAGCTTAGTAAACGTAGGATTGAGTGTACTTTATTTGCTTCTAATCTTATTGTTAGATTATGAATTTCTGTTGAAGGCTATTCTATTTACATGACTTGATTTTTCATATTATTTTGATAATCCAAGTGCTTAGTGTACAACTTAGCCTAAACGGAAGTGACCACTCTTATGTTTTATTTGATCATTTTAATTTGCTAATAGTTCTAATCTTAATTCTTCTTATCAAGAAATCAGGTTACTTCATTCATTTAAAAGCATTTAGTCCTACGTCATCTAGTATCAAAGCATGGCTAGCATGCATTACATGTGCTAGAATTCATCCTAGGCTATTGCTTAAGCTTGCATATTTAATTTGCCATGCATACCATCTCTTAAATCATTTTAAATCTTAGTTGTGTTTGCTGTCCAGAAATTTTCTTCACTCATTTAGTGAGTTTTAAGGTTATTTCTTAAGTATCTAGGTGCTGCCCTCAATATAACAACTTCCCTAGTCACATAGGATACTTAACGCCTTGTTATAGTTTGCCGTCCAAACATTTTCTGCATCATTTAGTGTCATTCTAGAGAGTTTCTCATTGCATTTAGGTGCTGTCCTCTACCTAGATTCACCCCCAAGTGTCCCCTAGTGTATAGGCATGGACCCGGAACAACTAGGAAGGACTTTAGACTTGTTGGTAGGCCAAATGAACAATATTAGCCAGCAACTCAAAGAGAACCAAGCCAACCTAGCTGAGCTCCGTAGGAACACCACTGAGCGGTTTGACACACTTGGGCGAGCTGGAGAGCACACTACTCCTTACACCCCATCTAGACCATATGTTTACGGGGATGATAGTTACCCAGATGAGAGGCAACATCGCGCCAATCATCGAGCTCCCAATCATGGACATGACCCACGTCATGATCTAGACTTGGATGAGAGGCAACATCGTGCCAATCATCAAGCACCCTACCACGGACATGACCCACGTCATGATCCTGATATACCACTTATGAAAAATATTAAAGTCGACGCTCCTAACTTTGATGGCACCCTCGATCCCTAGCTTTTCCTGGACTGGTTCAAAAGTATGGACAGTTTCTTTAAGTGGTACGGTAGGAAGGACAGTTTTGCGGAGATGAAGCTTACGGGTAGGGCAAGTCAGTTTTGGGCCAACTTAGAGAGCCTTAGGGAAGCTATGAACGATTAACCCGTTACCGATTGGCCATCCATGAAGCGGGAACTTAAGCAGAAGTACTTGCCACCCTCGTACTTCCCCCGACTATTGGATAGGTGGAATAGGCTGACTCAAGGAAATAAACCAGTTAAGGAGTACATCGCCTCCTTCGATGACTACCTGATTCGATGTAAGGGGGAGACCTCTACCACCCCCGCACAAATCTTGTCTATGTTTCGATCCGGGTTGCGAGAGGATCTTTGCAATGAGCTGTTTCCCGGAACGCCACTACACTAGAGAATGCCTACAGCCTAGTGCTTGACTTAGAGGAGACCCGTTCATAGCACCTGAGCCATTCACATGACTCTAGGTCTTCCTACAGACCTTCTGGTAGTTTCACCCCTCACACCCCCACTGCCCAGCCGACCCCAGGGAGCACTACCCGACCCTCGACTAGTCCCCCCACTCTACATCCTAATGTTAGAAGTAAGCCTCCCACTCCGGATAACCCTCGATCTAACCCCGAGACCAAATGCTTTAGATGTCAAGGGTATGGGCATATCGCCTCTCAGTGCTATAATTCCTATAAAGTCACGATTATCAAAGAGATCACTGAAGCGAAATTCGAGCCTGAAGTCGATCAGATTCACCAAGTAGACAATGATGGTGAATTCTTTGAGGAGGATGACGGCACTACTGTCATCCAATACATCCAAAAAATTGACACTTCTCCCACCTGCTTGGTGATATATGCATTGTCACAACCCGTTACCAACGACGACTGGCGTAGGATTACGATCTTTCACACCTACACCAAGATCAAGGATAAGAACTATAAGGTCGCCGTGGATAGTGGAAGCTGCATCAATGTTGTCTCCTCCAGCATGGTATCCAAGCTTGGCCTATCTGCCGTTCCCCACCCCAACCCCTATAAGGTAGCTTGGGTCAACACCACTGCCTTAAAGGTAAAGGAACATAGCTTCATACCTATCTCCTTCGCTGACTATAAGGAGAATGTTTGGTGTAATGTGTTGATCATGAATGTTGGACAAATCCTTCTAGGTCGCCCTGGCTATTTGACAACGATGTCCACATCTATGGTCGTTCAAACATCTGCGTGTTTGAACATGAGGGCAAAAAGATCAAGCTTTTGCCATCACAACCTCGGGTTCGGATGATCCTGAGTCCAACCCTATCAAAGCCAAGAAGGGACTGAACTTGATAGTCTCCATAGCCCAGAGCGTGCCATTACACACCTTTGTCGATCGTGAGACTCCCACTGAGTCTAACGAATCAGTCCCTCATGAGAATCAGCTCATACCTAGTAGACTTATTGAGATACGTCTTGATGGTCTTCCCGATCCATTACCCCCGATTAAAAGCACTTCCTATGTTCAAGATCTAGCCCCTGGAGCCTCTCTATCCGATCACATCCCACTTGGACTCGACTACCATGATTCAGTGACTCATACCCTTGGTTTAAGTCTTTCTAAAATTGTTTACGGGTTCAAACCTATACTGCCACTAGACCTTATGCCCATGTGTTCTAGGTATATAATTTTTGAGTCTGCATCATCATTTTCATCTCATATGCATGGGTTTCATAAAGGAATTGCACGACAAATTGAAAGGGCAACAACGATTACAAACTATATGACGATCTGAAATGAAAATTTTAAAGCTTTTGAGGTTGGTGACTCCGTGATGGTGCGGATTCATTCGGAACAGTTCCCGCAGGGAACAGTTAAGGAGCTGTATGCTAAGAGTGCTGGACCATTCAAAATGACTAAGAAATTCCAAGATAATGCTTATAAAATAGTTTTGCCAGCAGAATTCAACTTCAATCCCTCTTTTAACATAAAAGATTTAGTTGCATATGAAGATCCTGAATTCAACTCACCAAATCCACTCATACAGCAGCCTTGTGTGACCCCACCACGTGAGAACCTCAAATTACCCATAGCAGAAAAGGTGGACTCGACTCTAAGTGATGACATCATCTCCACAAGAGAAGGTGGACGATATAGGTACTTGATCAGGTGGAAAGAGAAGCCCGAGTTAGAGGATACATGGCTGGATCGTGATGAGCTGCAGCAGATTGACCCCGGCATATTGGAGATCCACGAGAGCACCATAAATGTTTACTCGATAGAGTCGAGTTTTCCTCTCACCCCGGGAGAATGATGAGGACATCAGAGCATGAATCGTATAACTGAGGCGTGGCCGACGATCAACAGCCACGATCGCGTCGATGTATTTTGAGTTATTTCATGTATTTGTTTTATTATGTTATTTGTCTTTTATTATTAGTTATGTTGTAATTGTTTTTTCGTTGTTATCCCTTACTTAAAGAGATGTTGTATGTATAAGCCCTAAGGGCATTATCGTCTTTCTTATTTTGAGTCCTTTTTGTACAAGGCTATTTATAGCCCTCATGTTGCTCTTCGCAAGTTAATGAATGATTATTTGAGAATTGTGTTTTCTTGTTGGAGTTCTTGAGAGATCGAAGAGAGATCCCTTGGAGAGGGAGATCGGCGCATTACCCACCAACCTTGGAGACGGCCGGGTTCGTGGTTTTAATTCTCAATCTTCCTTTCCCTTCCACTTTTCCCCTAGCCACCGGGCTTGATCACCCCGACACCCCTAGACCGCCGGCCATCCTAACTCCCACACCCTACCACCACCTCCCCACACAACTCCACCTCCACCTAGCCGCATGCCCTAGCCTCCTTACCCTTTCTTGAGTTTATTTCCTATTCTAGATTGACATAATTTAGATAAATTTTGAATTCAAATTCACCCTATTTGAAATTCAAAATCCTTCCTAGCTTATAAAATTAATTCCCCAATCACCTCCTAATCAAATTTGAATTAAATTTGATTGAATCCTTTTGCCATATGAGGAGTTCTCTAATTTGGAAAGTGCTTAATTCCTCTTCCAAATCCATAGTCGTCAGCCCCCCTTTTTGGGTTCTCCATTAGTGCTTGTAATTACAACCTTCCTAATTGGGTTAAATATTTTAGGTAACTCAATTAATTTACAAATTCAAATTCATTTGAATTTGAATTTGTTGCCTAAAATATCAATCCTAATTTAGTAAAGTTTCCAAATTTCAGTCCTTTTGATTTTAAAATTATTTGGGGATTAATTAAATCTTTCCTAATTTCATAATCCCAATTAAGAAGGCTTGAATTTATTCCCAAACCGTTCTCTCTCTTAGCCGCCCCCACCCTTACCTAAATACACCCAAATCCTTTCCAAACTAAAAGGATTCGTTGGGGAAATAATTGTTTGAATTCCCTCCATCCTTCTAACCAAAAATCTGAATCGAACCTCTCCAAATCTCTCACCTTGGCTGGCCACCCTCCTCTTGCCTTCTCCTACTTGAATTCTTGAGGGAAACTTCTTTCTCTCAAAGGATTTTTCAAGGCGAGCACAGGATCAATACATTCCACTCTTTGACGCTTGGGAGAGACCTCTTCTCCTCTAGTTGAACCTTCACAAGGAGCTACGACAAACTTCTTAAACACATCGCCTACTTGTTTCTGGGTTTTGATAAGGGGTGAACTTCTTCCCCTTTTAATTTACTTTTCTAATCCCCCAAATCTTGTAGGTGATGGAGATTCACAAGGAGCCGAGCTTCACCTTTGCTTAAGCTTAACAAACGTAGGATTTTGTCTCGCCGTTGCCAAAGCTTAGTAAACGTAGGATTGAGTGCACTTTATTTGTTTCTAATCTTATTGTTAGATTAGAGATTTCTGTTGAAGGCTATTCTATTTGCATGACTTGATTTTTCATGTTGTTTTGATAATCCAAGTGCTTAGTGTGCAACTTAGCCTAAACGGAAGTGACCACTCTTATGTTTTATTTGATCATTTTAATTTGGTAATAGTTATAATCTTAATTGCTCTTATCAAGAAATCGTGCAAGTTTTTACTTCATTCACTTAAAAGCATTTAGTCCTACATCACCCTTCCTAGTCTCTCTTCCTCAGCCAAAATAATACAGCAATAAATTTCTAAATGGCCCAAAAATTTTATTTTAGCAAAGGTCACTCCCTGATAATCATACATTTGTTGCCAATTAGAGAAATCATTTATTTGGCTAAGCCAATAAATATTTATAAATATTTATCAGGATCATCGATCCCATGATTTCGTGAGGGCTTAAGGTTAGGGCTTGGGATTGTGTGAGGTCTTCCAGAGTTGTTATTAAAAAATGTGGAAGGTTTGGAGTAGACTTAAGGGATCATTCAAGATAAGTGTCGACCAAGTGAAAGTCGAACTCAAAACTGAAAACCCATGATCTGACTTTAGGCTTTTGTTGTGGAAGTTTGAGGTAATTCTAGGGCTTAACACATGAAAACTTTATGTACATGTAGCTAAATATGATGCGAGAAGTTTCATAAATTTTGGAAGCCTTTTGACATTTTTTCAATATTTTAGAATAAGACTAGATCAAATAAGAACCCAATCTATCCAATAACTTTGGGTGAGAAGTTTGGCTTTGTAGGAGTTTAAGATTTGAAAAAAATTGGGAGAATTCCTATAGGTGGTAAGAGAATGTCTTTAGATGTTGGGCTTCTCATAATTTTACAAGAGATTTAAGAAGGTCTAGATGCTTATGGAATAAGACTAGGTCTTACTGAAGAGGCCTTTAGTTGACCACTTTAAGGTGAGGATAGGCTAGGGTTTTGTGGGAGAAAAACATATGCACAAAGATATAGGATAATGAGATCTAAGATTTCACAAAAAAAAAAAAAAAGATTTCACAAATAGAGATAAACTTATCACTCACTAAAGCAATAGGTTGAAGGAGGTCACGAAATCCCTTCAAACTAAAGCAGGCCACCAAGCCTCCATCTTCTTGGAATAAACTAAAATTTTCTTCAATCAATGAAAATCTATTCATTCATCATTACAGTAAATAAATAGTCCAATATAAACTCAAAAGCAAATAAGGAAACTAGAGAAAGGAGGAGATATGGGAGGTCGATCCCGTGTTTAAAAAGGATGATGAGTTCCCTCTGAAAGCCTTGGTCAGTCACAAGGTTTAAAATTGCCTAATTGGATATTGAGACATTTTTCGTTTGTGAGACGAGATGTAAGTCTCAAGGCGTTTTGAGGCATAAGCCTCAAAATCCAGAAATTGTGTAAAGTGAAAATAAAAGTTAAAAGTGATTTTTTATATAATATCCAAATATCATTATATTAAATGATGACATATTAATTTTTTATTGAACTATGAAATAACAAATTAACATATATATAAACAAAAAATTACACAAGACGGTAAGTAGCAAGTAATAATTTGCATGAAATAGAATTGAAACTAATTATTACAAGAGCAAAACAACATAAGAATTGCATAAAAGTATCATATAACATCAAATTTAACTCTAAATTTCTTCTTTCTCAATTTCTTAATCATCCACATTAAGTTCCTAAAAAAGCTAAAATAGTTGGTAACAACTCAGAAATCATCTACACTATCATCACTAAGGGGATCTTTATTTGAATAGCTGACATAATAGATTAGTCTCTTCCCTTCCTCATCCTGTAGAGTTTAATGCCTCCCAATCTACTTCTTACTTCTTTATTTCAGTCATCTTCCTTTTTCATAAATGTTTGCCATCAACATAAGGATGAGAATAATATTCCAAATTTTTAGAAGAGGAGGTGGTGGTAGTGTGCGACTTTCAAGTGATCCCCGAAAACCGCTATGACACTGCTAAAAAGGCAAAGGGGGCGGGTTGGAGGTCGAGGTAGTAGAGATTAAGTTGTTGCGGCTCAGGAGTGGATGAAGGCATTATTTGTTCAAGGCTTTAATTTATGATTTAGGTAAGTTATAATATATATATATATATATATATATTGAGGCATACTCCTCATGCCACTGAGGTGAGGCGGGCCTCATAAAAAAAGCTCAGGATGTAAGCCTCAAGGCATTTTTCACTGGAATTGCTGGGTTGGGCCTCAAAGAAAGTCTCATATTGCACAATTTTAAACAATGGTTGGCCATATAATGGTGGAATGATGTTTAATTATTCATTAAAAGCAATTAAATATCATCTCATAATAATGCATAATAATCCTCTCAAGCTTTGAAAATTTATACTCCAATGAAATTTTAAATTCTCCCACATAAGTTCATGAAATTAAAACACATATAGTCTTAGAAATTTAAATTACAATATATAAAGGTTCAAATCCTAACTAAATATTTCTAAATTATTGTCTTTATCATCCTCTTTATGAGTGGTCAAGATTTCATCTTGTTTTGACCTCTTGTGACTAATCTATATGCTTCTTGTGCTATATCAAAATTATTATTATGTTGCTGTGGAGAAAATTAAGAATAATTCTAGCAATGGGCAAGAAATAATGGGACTTTAACAAATGAGAAGGTAACATTACATAATTCTCATCCACAAGTGGATTGGTGAAGCAAACCAAAGGGTAAAGGAAGGTGAACATTAAAGTGCTGTTATTGTTAAAGGAATCTAAAAGGAAATCATTTGGAAATCTAGAGGTATTGATTCTTCTTCGTCTTATTGTATGTTTAATAACATCTACAAGCGCTTTTCTTCAAGTGGTACAGAGCTAGATCAAGATGGAGGAGGTTCTTGATTCAAGAAATAGTCAATGGCCAAGAATGGGATTAAAGTATTCACCAGTCTGAACCAATGTTTAAAATTGCATATTCGGCTATTGAGGCGTTTTTCATCCGTGAGGCGAGGCGTAAGCCTCAAGACGTTTTGAGGCGTAAGCCTCAAAATCAAAAGATTGCGTAAACATAAAATGATAAATTTTTTATATACTAATGAGTGAATAATATAAAACATAAAAAGCATAAGATATGAATTGAAATCAAAATATCCCAATAATAAGACAACATGAAATATAGTTCAACTCAAAATTCTATCTTTCCCAATTCCCAATATTCTTTTCATTAACATATAATTCCAATTTCCGAAAACAAATAGCAATGACATATCACATAAGAACTCATAAGTCATTAACACTGTCATCACTAAGGGGTTCTTCATTTGAATCATCATTATGATCTTTGTTTAAAATTGCGCAACAAGAGGCGCGCCTCTGCGCAATTTTACCCAAAAACGCCTCGAGGCTTACGCAATTTTCATCTTCGTAGAGGCGTACGCCTCACTGGGCTTGAGGCGCGCCTTAATTGCGCAATTATGGGTGAGGCGTACGCCTCACAAAACTGGTCCCACCTGCTTAAAATGAAGCATTTCCTTCCCTTCAACCCGTTTGGCTCCAGGTTTTCCCAAAAATTCCCTTCCTGTAGCCTCTGTTCACGAAACAGACGGGATCTCGCACGCACGGCCTCCCTTCCCGCCGCCTCTCCCGCCAGCGTCGCCTCTCTCCGACGATCTTGAAGTGTCCGTCCGCCCTCTAGGAGAAGTCCACAATCGATTTTAGGTATTTTTTTTAGTTTATGGTTAGATTTTCAAGTGAAAGAAAATCTAGGGTTTTTTATTTTTTGAATTTTTTTTTTGTGTTTTTGGATTTTGCATTAGGAAACATTGTTAGAGGCAAGGAAAAGGCGAATACGTCATTGCGGCGTGAACCATCTTGGAAATATAGTGTGCAAGTTGACGTAGGAGGCGGCGAAAAGACGTATGTATTTAAAATGCAATTTTTGTGAGAAAGTGGTGAAGGGAGGAGTAACCCGCATTAAGGAACACTTATCATGCTCTCATAAGAATGTAGCACCGTATGCAAAAGTGCCGTACAATGTGAATGATGAAATAATTGCTTACATGAAGAAAAGTACCACGGCAAAACACTTACAACAAGAGCAATTTAATGAAAGGATCGAACATGGTGCTTATTTCGGGAGCGAGAGTGGAAAGGGCTCTTCCACTATAAATAATAGAGGTTCACGGGGTCCTATGGATCAGTATATGACTAATCCAGGAGAGGATAGAGGACAAGCAGAGATGATGCCTGCGGCTGGTACCAGAGAGGGTCGACAACAGGTTTGCATGGATATTGACATTTTTTTTTTGAGAATGCCATACCATTTAATGTTGCGACATCGCCTGCCTACTTCAATATGCTGCGGTCTATAGGGTTGTATGGGAGAGGGTTGAAGGCACCATCCATGTTCGAGTTGCAAACATGGATTTTGAAGGAGCTGCAGAACAGAGAGCGGAGCATTGATGAGATTAAACGGACATGGATTGAGACTGGTGTTATCATTATGTCAGATGGATGGTCTGACATGAAGGCAGGAGCTTGATTAACATCCTTGTCAATAATCCATACGGCACGGTATTTTTACGATCAATTGAAGCTTTAGATGAGGTTAAAAATGCTTCATTTATTTTCAATTTACTAGATTGATTTATTAAGGAGATTGGGGAGCAATTGGTTGTGCAAGTGTTGACTGACAATGCTAGTGCATACAAAGCAGCTGGTCATATGTTGATGGAGAAGAGGACACACCTATATTGGA